GTTTTTTTTTTGTCTCTCAGCAGATTATTTCCCCTCCATCTGCCCTCTCCTCCCATCTCTGCCTTTATGATCCCTGCCTGACCCCACCCCACCCCACCCCTCCCCCCCACAGCCAGTCAGCTGGGAATACTGGGTTGCCCAGTTGACTCAGCCCTCCAATTTTGCTGAGCTCCTAGTTCTGTCTTCCGGGGGAAACCGTCATTAAAAGGGGCTCCGTGCCTTCTGAAAGCCACAGGATCCCTCCTGGAAGGGGTGGGGGGCTTTTGAAACTCTATTCTCTCCCCCAAATAAATAAAATAAATAAATTTCTTTTCCCCCCCCCAGATTTATTTAAAAATCTGTGCAATTTCTCTTCCTGGCATCCTGCCCTACCCTCCAAAATAAAAGGAGAAAGAGGTATGGAGAAAGCGGACGTGGGAAAGCTTGAAAAAAAAAATAAAAGGAAAGGAAAGGAAAAAAAAAACCTGGAATCAGCAGAATGTAAATGCCAGAAACCACGTCTGGAGCTGGAGAGCGAGGAAATTTTTTTTTTTTTTTTTAAATAATAAAATAAAAAAAAAATAAAAACCCAAATCTGTGGAAACGAAGGGGAAAGGAGAAAGACACAAGACACGTCTGGTTGCCGATCCACAAATCAGAAGCGCTGCAGATTTGGCGGTTTGAGGCCTGCTTGAATAATCTTTTTTATTTTTCCAGGAATCTTGTTCTCCGCAGCTTTGAGAATTTACCCATCCTCCTTTCTCCTCCTGCAATTCCTCCCGTCTGGGTTTAGAAGAATCACGAGGCTAGGAAAAAGACGGACGGTAAATAAAACCCCAGTAATTCTGAAATAAAACCCCTAGTAATTCTGAAGGGTTTCGAACAACGTGTCCGGAGGAAATTGGTGGTGTGCTAAAAGGAAATTTACAACGACCGAGGAGAGTCTGGAGTCGGTGTGGAAAAAGCTGCCTTTTAATCATCCTGAAATATTCAGGATATGTTCAGATTTGGGGGCATGGCAGCAGAGTCCTCTAGCACAGGGGTCGGCAACTGGCGGCCCTGAAGCCAAGCCTGGCCCTGGGTGTAAATTTTTTAAAAGCCCTCTGGGAAATAACCGGGTTTTCTCAGGGGGTTGAGGCAGCTGAGGAGTGGAGAAATGAATTAAAGATGTAAATAAAAAGACGAAGTTGAGGGGAGAAACAAAGAAAAGAGCAGTCCGGCCCTGTTTGGGTCTTGCTCCGCCCAATGTTTAGGTACGCCCTGCTTTGTGGGTGGATATTTGGCGCCAGTCTCGGCTCAAATGATCTTCTAAGATATCAATTTTATGAAAGGTTTCTCAAAGAACCCTAAAATCACCACAGGATGAAGAGAGAGGGGGGAGGGGGAGAGAGAGAGAAAGAGCAACAAAGAGAGAGAGAGAGAGAGAAAGAGAGAGAGAAAGAGTGACAAAGCGAGAGTGAGTGAGAGAGAAAGAGAGAGTTGTAACTTCAAGAACAGGTAGTCAATAGTAAGTCACTTTTTTGAAGTCCATCATAACTTTGATGAGAGAGAGAGACAAAGAGAGAGAAAATGAGAGAAAAACAGAGAGAGAGAGAGAGAGAGAGAGAGAGTTGTAACTTCAAGGACAGGTAATCAATAGTAAGTCACTTTTTTGAAATCCATTATGACTTTGATGAGAGAGAGAGAAAGAGAGAGAGAGAAAAAAAAGAGAAAGGGAGAGAGAGAAAAGACAGAAAGAAGAGAGAGAGAAGAGAGATTGAGAGAGAGGAGAGAAAGAGAAAGAGAGAAAGAGCGACAAAGAGAGAGAGAGTGAAAGAGAGAGTTGAAACTTCAAGGACAGGTAGTCAATAGTAAGTCACTTTTTTTTGAAGTCCATCATAACTTCTATGAGAGAGAGAGAGAGAGAGAAAGAGAGAGAGAGAAAGAAAGGGAGAGAGAGAAAGAGAGAGAGAGAATGAAAGAGAAAGAGAGAGTTGTAACTTCAAGGACAGGTCGTCAATAGTAAGTCACTTTTTTTGAAGTCCATCAAAACTTCGATAAGAGACAGAGAGAGAGAGAGAGAAGAGAGAGAGAAGTAAAAGGAAATAGGAATGTTCTATCTATAACTGGAAGGGACCTTGGAGGTCTTCTAGTCCAACCCCTGTTCCAGCAGCAAACTTTGTAACATTTCAGACAAATGGTTGGCCAATCTTTTCTTAAAAACCTTCAGTGTTGAAGCTCCCACAACTTCTGGAGGTAAGTCATTCCACTGATTACTAACAGTAACAGAATAACAAAGTTGGAAGGGACCTGGGAGGTCTTCTAGTCCAACCCCCTGCTCAGGCAGGAGACTCCATACCATTTTACACAAGTGACCGTCCAGTCTTTTCTTAAAAAGCTCCAGTGATGAAGCGCCCACAACTTGATTGATTGATTGACTTTTTATTTTTCACCAATGTTTCTCAACTTCAAGAACTTTAAGACGGGTGGACTTCAACTCCCAGAGTTCAACATGCTGGTGAGGGGAATTCTGGGAGTTGAAATCCATCCACCTTAAAGTTTCTGAAGTTGAGAATGATTACTGTTCTGTTTTGATCCATTTAGGAAATATTAAGAATATTAAGAAAGGGAAGCCGATCCTCCCCTTCCAACAAGCCGACATTCACAACCGCACCCTGGATCTGCTAAATTTCAACACATGATGTGTTTGTCCGCTCTTGACAACGCAATCTGCTCGCTCAATTAACCCCTTTCTGGATTGACACCATGCTGGACACTGGATTACGAAACAAGCCAGCTAGATTCCCACCACCAAAAAATAATTTTATACTAACAAGTCACCATTTTTCAAAAGAGGGTCAGGTTGCTGGATTTAATTTTCACTGCAGATCCTAGCAATCTCTCAAAAGTTCCAAAGGGCAGATAGGTCAAAAAAGTCAATATGGTGGCCGCCAGTGCAATACTGAAGCCCCATCCCTTTTCAATGTGCATAGTGAGGCTTTCCGATGTGTGTCAAAGGGATGTGAGGCTTTACTCACGTTGGGGCAGCCATTTTGACTTTTTTGACTCTTCTGGACGTTCTACAAGAATCCTGGTCTTTTTTCACAAAACCTTTGCGTGCAGAAGGACGCAAATAAACCCACGGGAGCATTAAAACCAGGAATTATGAACATGGATGGGAACGAAGAAAAAAACAGGAACCATTCCTGCCCCCCCCGAATGTCAACTTGAGTCCACAAAAATCCTACCTCGCAGGGTCGTCGTGAGACGAAATGGATAAGATCCAAACGGAGCCCCTTGAAAAGAGGATTGCAGGATTGATGTGTTGTTGTTGTTGTTGTTTTTTAACGATGGTCTATTTTGTTTTCCACCTAGGCTGGGGCATCTTCTCAAGATTTTATTTTATTTTTTATTTTATTTTATTTTTAGGTACTTAAATGTTAGAATACTGCGAGCGTGCGAATGGAACGGCCCCGGTTTGCAAGCTTGCCGAGAATCGTCCGACCGCGAACGGTCCACCGATCCACTCGATAAAACAGCGCAGAAAAGAGAACGTCCCCCTTAATCGTAACCCATTGATCGACTAACACAGTGGTTCTCAACCTGTGGGTCGGGACCCCATTTGGGGTCGATCGACCATTTCATGGGGGTCGCCAAGCAAGGCTGTCCGCCATTTTTTTTGTCCGCCATTTTTTCCCCCTTTTCCGGCGGGTGCCTTACCTCCCTTGGGCTGGGCCAGATGGTGGTCGGCCTGCTCCATCTCTGCCGCTTGCCAGCTACACCTCGGCCGGCGCAGGGGGCGGAACCACGCATGCGCGGCGCTCCCGGGCAGGGAAAGTCCTTGACTTACGACCGGTTGGGTAGTCCTCGACTTACGACCGGTTTAGTCCTCGACTTACGACCGGTTTAGTCCTCGACTTACGACCGGTTGGGGTCATGGCATTAAAAAGGTTGAGAACCACTGGACTAACATCAATTTCCGTACAGAGATTGTCGATCGCGGGAATCTATTGGGGCTGCAGTACCTCGGGAGACCGTTAGGGGGCAGCCAGACGGCGGAAGAAAGCCGAGTTCAATTGACAACGGTGTTTTGTTTTGTTTTTCAAGCTCGGGCCCTTTAAGAAGCCCGGACTTCAACTCCCAGAATTCTCCAGCCAGCAACGCTGGCTGGAGAATTCTGGGAGTTGAAGTCCACGCTTCTTAAAGGGCCCCGAGCTTGAAAAAGACGGTTTTTTATAAGCAATTGAAAACGAGACTCAACTCCAGGACCTCGTGGGCGCCGGAAGGGGGCCCGCCAGGCGCTGCCCGACCACTCCATCCCATCGGGGAATCCTCAGGCCTCACTTTTAAAGGGCCAGCACTCCCCTTTCCTTCCCGCGGTGGGCTCGATCCTTGATCAGAAGCCCCTCTTACCATTCCTTGCCGCTGGACCCCCCCCTCCCATTCAACCCCGAGAGCCGCGCCCCCCCCTCCACCCTCTCCGGAGGACCCTTTCTGGCTGCACCCACCCACCCCAAAAGCCCCATTCCCACGACACGCGGGACACCCCCAACCCGCCCCCCCCAAAGGATGCAGCTTCGTTGAGAAGGGCAGATCGGGGCTGGGGGGGGGAGGAAGCAAAGAAGCCCCCTCTCTCCGCCGCCCCCCCTCCCTTCCGCAGCCGCGATGCCCGGATCGAGGGCGGAGTTGAGTGCGTGTGTGTGAACGCAAAACGCGGGATGGGCCCGGCAGGAGGAAGAGGCGGCGTCACGGACAAAGTTGCCAAAGCCCGGAAGCGGCCAGAAGGAAACAAAAGTTTCCAAACAGCGCCGAAGGGAGGGGGAGCCCGAAGAAGCCTCCCCCCCCCTCCTTCCCCAGTCGAACCTCCAGCGCCCAGCGCAGCCGGCGGACTCGGGGAGAGGGCGGTCGCCCAGCTGCGATGGGCCAGTGAGAGGCCGGCGGAGGCAGAAGCGGAGAGGGCCGGGGCTCGGGGGGGGGGAGACCCCCTAGAAGAGCAGCGGCGGGAGCGAGAGACGAGCCTTCCTTCCTCCAGCCGGTGGGCGATGGGTCCCCAGCAGCCCCTCCGGGCGAAAAGCAGGGCTCCCCCCTGCCTGGTTCTTGTGGGGCTCCTCCTGGGTGAGAGCGAACCCCGCTTTCCGTCCCCTCTCTGCCTTTCCCACGCTTCCCCTGCCTTTCCCACGCTTCCCCTTCATTTCCCCCCGGTTCTCCTTGATTTTCCACAATTCCCCTGTATTTCCCACGGTTCCCCTGTATTTCCTACGGTTCCCTTTCATTTCCCATAGTTCCCCTGTATTTCCCATGGTTTCCCTGTATTTCCCATGATTCCCCTGTATCTCCCACAGGTCCCCTTCATTTTTCACGGGTCCCCTTCCTTTTCCACAATTCCCCTATATTTCCCACGGTTCCACTGCATTTTCCACGGTTCCCCTGTATTTCCCACCGTTCCCCTTCATTCCCCATGGTTCCCCTTCATTTTCCATGGTTCTCCTGTATTTTTCATGGTTCCCCTTCATTTTCCACAATTCCTCTGTATTTCCCACGGTTCCACTGCATTTTCTACAATTCCCCTGTATTTCCCATGGTTCCACTGCATTTTCCATGGTTCCCCTTCATTTCCCACAATTCCCCTGTATTTCCCACGGTTCTCCTTCATTTCCCACAATTCCCCTGTATTTCCCATGGTTTCACTACATTTTCCATGGTTCTCCTGTATTTTTCATGGTTCCCTTTCATTTCCCACGATTCCCCTTCATTTCCCACAATTCCCCTGTATTTCCCATAGTTGCCCTTCATTTCCCACAATTCCCCTGTATTTCCCATGGGTTCCCCTTCATTTCCCACAATTCCCCTGTATTTCCCACGGTTCCCCTTCATTTCCCACGGTTCCCCTTCATTTCCCACCGTTCCCCTGTATTTCCCACGGGTTCCCCTTCATTTCCCGCAGTTCCCAATTCATTTTCCACAATTGCCCTTGATTTCCCATTGCTTCCCAGTCTGGTCGTTGGAAGATGCGCTTTGGGGCAAGGAGGCCACTCAGCTGTCCTTTTCTCTTCCCTCCCTTCCTCTCTTCTCCTGGATCAGGGTCAGGTTGCAGAGGAAATATAACCTGCTTCCCCCCGTCCCCCCCCCTTGTCTCCGGTTCTCAGAGCAGTGACGTAAGCAGCGAAAGTCAGGAAGGCAGAGATCAGTCAACTTCTTAAGTTAGCGGCTTCCGGTTTTGTACTTTGTTTTGGCTGAAGAAGCTGCGGCTGGCAGGGGCGGTGGGTTGATTCCGCCTTTCGCCCTCTCGCTCCTTTGATCTGTCCGGGCAGGAAATGAAACTTTCTTCTCCTCCTCCTCCTCTCTTTCTTCTCATTTTTTTTTTCTCAGCAATCCAACCTTTCATGCTAACAAAAATGGGGCATTAAATGGCAAAAAAAAAAAAAAAACCCAGCCCAAAAATCTGAATGCTGTAGGATGGATTGGAAAATTGATAACACTATAACAGAATAACAAGAGTTGGAAGGGACCTTGGAGGTCTTCTAGTCCAACCCCCTGCTCAGGCAGGAAACACTAGACTATTCCAGAAAAATTATTGTCCAGTCTCTTCTTAAAGACTTCCAGTGTTGGAGCGCCCACAACTTTTTGGAAGCAGGTCGTTCCACTGATTAATAACAGTAACAGAATGACAGAGTTGGAAGGGACCTTGGAGGTCTTCTAGTCCAACCCCCTGCTCAGGCAGGAAACACTATACCATTCCAGAAAAATTATTGTCCAATCTCTTCTTAAAAACTTCCAGTGTTGGAGCACCCACAACTTCTGGAGACAATTTGTTCCACTTATTAATTGTTCGCACTGTCAGGAAGTTTCTCCTTAGTTCCAGGTTGCTTCTCTCCTTGATTATTTTCCATCCGTTGCTTCTTGTCCTGCCTTCGGGTGCTTTGGGGAATAGGTTAATTCACTCTTCTTTGTGGCAGCCCCTCAAATGTTGTTGTTAATTGCGAAGTCGTGTCCGACCCATTGCGACCCCATGGACAACGTTCCTCCAGGCCTTCCTGTCCTCTACCATCTTCTGGAGTCCATTTAAGCTCACGCCAACTGCTTCAGTGACTCCATCCAGCCACCTCCTTCTCTGTCGTCCCCTTCTTCTCTTGCCCTCAAATATTAGAATATAGCTATCATGTCTACCCTAGTCTTTCTTTTCATTAAAGTAGACATCCCCAATTCCAGCAACCATTCTTTATATGTTTTAGCCTGCAGCCTCCTAATCATTTTTGTTGCTCTTCTCTGCACTCTTTCCAGAATCTCAACATCCTTTTTATAGCGTGGTGACCAAAACTGGATATTGTATTCCAACTGTGGCCTTTCTAAGCCCTTATAAAGTGGTACTAACATTTCACGTGATCTTGAGTCTATCCCTGTTTTTTTGTTTTTTTGTTTTAATAAATTTTTTATTGAATACAAAGAAAGAAAAAAAGATTAAAAACACTGAACATGATAAATCGTCTTTGACATACATCTCCGTCTTGTCAGTCCATATTGTACATTAACTACATAAATATATATATCTATATACAACTGTACATTTCTAGTATCTGCCTTAACTTATATCTTTGCTGTTGACCCCCATTTTTTTCCCTCCGTTTATAAAAATTATTCCAGATTCGATAAAATTCTGTTTCTTCCTGATTCTTTAATCTTTTAGTTATCTTGTCTAGTTCCGTGCAATACATAATTTTCTTTATTAGTGCTTCCCCACTCGGTGCTTCCATCGCTTTCCACTTTTGAGAAAATAGTATCCTTGCCACCGTTACCACGTGTATGATTAGATATGTGTCACCTTTATTTACGTTTCTTCCTGATTCTTTAATCTTTTAGTTATCTTGTCTAGTTCCGTGCAATACATAATTTTCTTTATTAGTGCTTCCCCACTCGGTGCTTCCATCGCTTTCCACTTTTGAGCAAATAGTATCCTTGCCACCGTTACCACGTGTATGATTAGATATGTGTCACCTTTATTTACGTTTTTCCCTAGTATTCCTAATAATAGTGTCTCAGGTTTGTATTGAATGTTTTGCCTAGTCATTTCTATTACCCATTCCCAGACCATAAGCCAGTACACCTGTGCTATCCCTCTGTTAATGCAGCCTACGACTGTGTTGGCTTTAACTAGGAAAAATAACCAGAGGAAAAAAAAGTAAAAACTCTTTTATAAACGGATCTGAGAATGAATAGGAATCAGAGCAAACCTTAAAGATTTTACCTCGATTTAAGCGAGCTCACCTAGCTGATTTCAACAATGGGATTTTAAACTACTAGAAAAATATCTTGGGGCAATTTGGAAAGGAGGCCACTGAGAAATCACACCATGGGAGGCGGGGCTAGCTAGTTGAAAACAAGTCCAGAGAAAATGACCAAGCGCCTTGGCATGACTGCAAAGAAATTTTTGGGTATGTGCTGTCAAACCACGAGCTCAAATCATGACCTCAAAGCTCCTAAGAATCTTTGTGAGATGCAGGGGAAAAAAGCAAATTACTCTAGAATAGTGTTTGTTAATCTCAGCCATTTTAAATTGGGTGGACTTCAACTCCCAGAATTCCCCAGCCAGCATGGCTGGCTGGGGAATTCTAGGAATTGAAGTCGACCCAACTTATCGTGGCTGAGGTTGAGAAAAACTGGTCTAAAATGTAAATCATTTTGCTTTCTCTTAGGTATCATTCAGGCTGTGGAAACTAACCCCTCACGTACAGGTGAGTAAGACCGTAGTAAGGAGGGGGCCAGGTTAGTAATAATAATTGGTGAAACTTATATGCTGCCTCCGAACTCTGGGAGGCACACAACAACGAAAGGAAAGAATTACAATAAAATCAATTAAAAATAAAAGAGAGCAACGGGGAGGTCTCACCCTCCTTTGCCAAAATCCTGCTGGGTTTTCGTCATTCTTGAACCATGGCAGACTTGGGGGGGGGGCATCCAGATCTGGGGGGGGGTAGGGAAAACTCATTGCAAAAAGCAGGAACTGTCCCAGAGAAAGTGCATTTTCCAAAGTTTACAACAATTCATTTAGTGGCCGTTTGAAGCTACAACGGCAGTGAAAAAGGGGACTTATGACCGTTTTTCACGTTTATGATTGTTGCGACATCCCCCGTGGATCAAAATTCGGACACTTTTGCAACTGGTTCATATTTATGACGGTTGCAGTGTCCCTTTTTACGACCTTGGGGAGACAGAGAGGAAAATAAACCAAGAGGAGACTTTGATTATTTTTTTCCACACTTATATCTTCTCCCAATCCATTCCAAGAGATTAAGAAAATAAGCAAGACAAAGAGAAGTCAGTGCTTTTTTAAAAAAAAAGCAAGGATGTGTTATAATTCCAGGAATGGATTGTGGACTTCAATTCCCAGAATTCCCCAACCAGCCATGCTGGGGAATTCTGGGAACTGAAGTCCACTCCTCTTCAAGGTAAGAACACTTTTAAGAATTTAAGAACATTTTTGTAAAAGCTGAAGGCAAAAATAACCTTGATTTTTGATTTAAGCCTTTCCTTTTCACGACAGACTAAATCCTGTATAGTTCAGTGTAGCTGGGTGTATATTTGCCTCCTATTTTTCCATTTAAGTAGTCTTTCTCCACCTCAGCAACTTTTAAGATATGTGGACTTCAACTCCCAGAATTCCCTAGCCAGCATGGTGGCTGGGGAATTCCAAGAATTAAAATCCAGACATTTTAAAAGCTGATAAAGTTGAGGAAATAATCAGTAACACCACTAAATTTGTAACTGATCACTGCTCTTAAAAGATTCCTTTTATGCTTCATACAAAATGCTTATTTATAGCTGTTTGGACATCCCATGTGCAAAACGTCCTGCTTTTTTGAAGTAAGGATGTGTTGCAATTCCAGGAACTGACTGGAACCTTCCTCAGCAACTTTTAAGACTTGTGAACTTCAGTTCCCAGAATTCCCCAGCCAGTCCACAAATCTTAAAGCGGCTGTGATTAAGAAAATCCAGACTGGATTTCTACAATACCACATCTTCTTGGGACAAGGATTAAAACAGGGGTCTTCAGACTTGGCCCTTTGGTGACTTGTGGACTTCAACTCCCAGAATTCCTCAGCCAGCATGCCTGGCTGAGGAATTCTGGGAGTTGAAGTCCACAAGTCATAAAAGGGCTAAGTTTGAAGACTCCTGGATTAGAAAGTGGCAAAATGAGGAGAATCTGGGAGTGGCCAAAGAGCTAGAAAAATACAGAGGGTGCATCCTTCTCCTGACTTTCTTTCTCCACTTCGGCAGCTGTTTGTCCAGGTTATCCCGATGTCCGGAGAGAACCGCAAGGCCAAATCCATAGCCCTTCCTCCCGGGTGATGACTTCCAGCAGCTGTACTTGGGTGATTGTGGGTGGCCCGGACGATATCATTTACATCGGGTGAGCAACTCTATGTGGAACCTGTGAATTTGCTTTAACAGAGCCTACAATTAGGACCTGAAGCGGAGGGGTGTTGTTGTGTTTTTTCCCCAAACTCTGCAGCTTTAAGAAGTGTGGACTTCAACTCCCAGGATTCCTCAACCATCTTGGCCGTCTGAGGAATTCTGGGAGTTGAAGTCCTTTAGATCAGGGGGTCTTCAAACTTGGCCCTTTGATGACTTGTGGACTTCAACTCCCAGAATTCCTCAGCCAGGCACGCTGGGTGAGGAATTCTGGGAGTTGAAATCCACAAGTCATAAAAGGGCCAAGTTGGAAGACCCCTGCCTTAGATCTTAAAAGTTTGAAAAACACTGACCTAAAACTTGGCAAGCATTGCAAATGTTTGTTTTTGGGGAAGGGGGGGAGGGGTCCTTTCAATAATGACAGTGCTGGAGTTGGAGGGAACCACAAAGCTCATCTAGTCCCACCCTCTGTTCAAGCCTATTAAACCATCTAGGAGAGGTGGCTGTCCAGCCTAGGATTCCAGAGATGGAAAAACACCAAATATCCATAGAAATGTTTCTTCTTATATTTAAACTAGGTTTAGACGCTTGGAACTTCTGTCAGTTATTTCTGGTCCCAGTTTACAGATAGTCCTTGACTTACAACAAAAATAAGCCCTAGTTTTAGGGCGAGGCACATACCTAAAAATCAAGCTAGGGCGGGTGTGGGGGTGTGTGGATCTGCCTCACCCGCCACACACCCGCTTACTTGGCGGCCAGGCCTCTCCTCACCAACCCACTTCTTCTTCTGAGGCCTCTTCTGCAGCCAGGCCTCCATTTCTCAGTCACGGACCTTCCCGGAAGGCCTCTGCAGCTGAGAACCGAGCTATGGGTTCAATCCGTAGCTCGGTTCTGCAAGATCTCTGCAGCCGAGCACCAAGCTATGGATTGAATCCATAGCTTGGTACTCGGCTGCTTAGACCTTCTGGAAAGGCCTGACTGCAAGACGCAGGCCCGAATGCAGCTGCAGAACTTCGGCCTCAGAAGAAGTGGACCGGCTGGGTGGTGCTGTCAGTGCAGGAGGTGAGATAAGGCCTACCCCAAAAATAAGATATGGTGCCTCTTTTGGAGGCAAAAAAATAAGACCCGGTCTTACTTTCGTGGGAAAACAGTACTATATCTGTGCACTTGGTTTTTCTTGCCTAAATGTAGAACCTTACTTTTTTCACCATTGAATTTCATTTTGTTAGCTAGCGCCCAGTGTTCAACTCTGTCAAAATCCTCCTGTATCTTAAGCCTATCTTCTGGAGTGTTGGCTATTCCTGCCCGCTTGGTGCCATCTCTAGAAGACAGGTGTTGCTGGATTAGAAGACCTCTAAGGACCCTTCCAACTCTGTTATTCAGAACTCTGATATTCTGTGTTTGGAAAGATTTCAGATTAAGGGTGCAGTTAAACATTTGTCTGAAATGTTACAGGGTCTCCTGCTGGAGCAGGGGGTTGGACTAGAAGACCTCCAGGGTCCCTTCCAACTCTGTAATTCTGCGTTTTGTTACACATGTCGCTTTTTCAGCCTCCTGGTATTTTCATAAACACCTCTCCAGGACTTCCACATAGAAAGACAAATCCAATTTGGGTCTGGGGTCTTTTCATTTCTCCCACAGGTTCCAGCAGTTCTTCCTTTCCTGCGGGCCGGAATTGCTGATCATCCGTGCGGCCAATCAGCCGCCCAGGAAAATGTGCGGTTACACAGCACCGGAACCAATTCGAATAAAAGGAGGCAACGTGACCCTGACTTACAGCTGGAAATTTTGGGCGAGGAACGGATTTCAGCTGAAATATGAAAGAGGTAAAGGGCAGACGGTGGGGTCCCCAATTCTAAGACTATAATCTGAGACTAGATCAGGGGTCTTCAAACTTGGCCCTTTTATGACTTGTGGACTTCAGCTCCCAGAATTCCTCAGCCAGCATGCCTGGCTGAGGAATTCTGAGAGTTGAAGTCCACAAGTCATAAAAGAGCCAAGTTTGAAGACCCCTGATCTAAGGACTTCAACTCCCAGAATTCCTCAGACGGCCATGATGGTTGAGGGATTCTGGGAGTTGAAGTCCTCAAGTCATAAAAGGACCAAGTTTGAAGGCCCCTGGACTAGATTATAATAAAGTAGTCCTCGATTTACGACCACAATTGGGAGCAGAATTTCCGCTGCTAAGCAAGGCGGTTGATAAGTGATTCATCCCTGATTCGATGAGCTGTTTTGTTGGAGTTTTTTTTTGTCTCGGTTGCTGAGCAAATCGGTGCAGTTGTTAAGCGAATTGCACGGTCGTTAAGCGAATCCGGCTTTCATCATTGACTTTGCTGGTGAGAAATTGGTTGGCAAGGTCGCAAAATAGCGATTACATAACTCAGATACGTGCCCGTTGCCAAACAGCTGAATTTTGATCATGTGACCATTGGGGAAACTTGATGGTCATAAGTGTGAGTAGGAGTTGCAAGTCCCTTTTTTCAATAAAATTGTCATTTGGAATGATTGCCAAACGGATGGTTGTAAGTTGAGGACTTCCTGCAAAGTGTTTTTTCCTTTAATGCCACTGTGATTCTCAATCCTACCAATTTTCTGTATAAGTCACCGGGTTATCTAGCCAACTCACGAATGAAGGCAAATATACATGTCCCAGGATAATGTTACGGGATCCAATCTGGGCCGGCCAAGTTTTGTACATTCAATTTACATACATTCAATTCTGCAGCTACTAAGATTGTTGGCCGAGCAGGGACAAAAACAGCCAGGGAAATTATTGAAACCTGGGAAACGGGGCCCTCTGCTGGTCAACAGGAGTGCTGATTTCCTACCAGCTTATCAAGTACTTCGGAGCCGAGGGCTTGACCCCCAAGGATACAACATCCAACGACTTAATAGCTGGCCATCAATACCCCAATCAACAACTAAAAAGCCACACACAACACAGGCACCACATAAATACCACACATAGAATAAATAGGCCCAAAGCACACTATCTGACTGACTAGCTGATTGTTTTCTCATTATCGTTATAGGAGGTCCTTGACTTACGACCACGACTGAGCCCAAAATTTATGTTGCTAAGTGAAACACTTGTTAACTGAGTTTTTGCCCCACTTTACGACCTTAGCTGCCACAGTTGCTAAGTGACCCACTGCAGCTGTTAATTTAGTAACACGGTTAAGTGAATCTGGCTTCCCCCTTGACGTTGCTTGTCAGAAGGTCGCAAAACGGGATCACATGACCCCGGGACACTCCAACCATCATAAATATGAGTTCAGTGTATGACCGCTGCAGTGTCCCGGGGTCATGTGATCACTCTTTCCTACCTTCTGATGAGCGAAGTCGTTGGGGAAGCCAGGTTCAATTAACAGCTGTGTGAGTAACTTAAGAACTGCAGGGATTCGCTTAACAACGGCAGCAAGGAAGGTCGTAAGGTGGGGCAAAACTCACTAACAAATGTTTCGCTTGGCAACAGCAATTTGGCGCTCAGTTGTGGTTGTATGTTGAGGACTACCTATACCAGGGGTGTCAAACTCAATTTCACTGAGGGCCGCATCAGCATTGCGGTTGCCCTTTGGGGGTGTGGGGGTGTGTGGCCAGGGTGGGTGTGGCCTACTGGGTGGGTGTAGGTGGAGTGGGTGTGGCCTACTGGCTTGCCGTGGCCAGTTCTACATCGTTCACGTCGAGGGTGCATGTGGGGGCCTGGGCAGGAGTGGGACAGATCTGAGGGTCTCTGGCAGAAGGGGGTGGGACTGGGGCAAGTGCCAAGGCATGGTCCACTTGGGCAAATGCCAAGATGGCCACCACAAAATTGTACATTGGCTCCCGGCCGGCCTGGGCCAGGGCCAAGGCAGCGGGGGCCGTTCCCTCACTGTTTCCAGGATGGCTTCGCGGGCCACATGAAACCACTTCGTGGGCCGCATCCGGCCCCCGGACTTTGTGTTTTGACATGTCTGGCCTACACCAAGGTACCACTATGTTAAGATTCATGATGCTGCTAGTATCTCTGGAGAGGAATTCCAGACACAGGTTGCAGAGAAGGAAGTTATTTCCTGGGTCTCCTGCTACGTAATAAAAATGGTGTCATTTTTGTTTCTTGGCGTTTCCCTCTCTCTCTGCTTCAGAATCTAAACCACAGCCTGTTGTGTCATGCAACCGCACCTTGGACGACTTCTACGGGGTGATTTATTCCCCAGCCTTTGGCTCGGACTCGCACCTGGGAGCTGCCCATTGCCAGTGGGTGCTGGATGCCCACGACAGCCGCCCCCTCACCATTCGCTTCACAGTCCTTAACTTAGATATCGGCGACTACTTACGGGTGTACGACGGGTCGCCCAACGGCCCACTCCGCCCTCGCCTGCTGCGCAACTTGGATTATACCAGCAACAACAAGATTGTGTTGGTGGATTCCCCATCCAGCCAGGCATGGGTCGTCTACCAGGCGGTGCCCGGAACAGAAGGACGGGGCTTCAATGCCACGTACCATGTGCAAGGCTTTTGCGTGCCGTGGGACTTCCCCTGCGGAGGAGACAGTGGCGAGGGCGCCACGTGCTACAGCACCGCCGAGCGCTGCGACGGAAATTGGGATTGTGCCAACGGTGCCGACGAGGATGGTTGCCACGGCTGCCCACCGGGGCAGTTTCCTTGCGGTGGACGAGGCATCGGAGGTGCCGTCTGCTACGGTCCCACCGACCGCTGCAACTACCAAACGTTTTGTGCCGACGCTGCAGACGAACGCCATTGTTACACCTGCCAGCCGGGGAACTTCCGGTGTAGAGATGGCCGCTGCATCTACGAGAGCTGGGTGTGTGACGGGCAAGCGGACTGCGTCGATACCACAGATGAAGCGGACTGTTCCTACATCCTGCCCCGCAAGGTGGTGACGGCGGCCGTCATCGGCAGCCTGGTATGCGGTCTCCTTCTGGTCATCGCGCTGGGCTGCACATGCCGTCTGTACGCGCTCCGGAGTCATGAATTTGGGTGAGGGGCCAATTGGGGGAAATCAAGGAAGAACGGTGGGATTTTGGAGGTGTGGTGGCTAGAAAGGGGGACAGGAATAGAGTTGATGCGCTAGAGGGGCCAATATGAAGAGGTAGGGCCCGTGTTGAGTGGACCAATGGGGCAATGAGTTGAATCAGTGGAGCGGTGCCTAGGGGATCATTAGTAACCCCTAGGGCTGTGTTTCATATTTCCCAATCTCAGCAGCTTTAAGAAGTATGGACTTCAACTCCCAGAATTTTTCCTTCCCCAAGTCTACTGGGAAATTCTAGAAGTCCATGCATCTTAAAGCTGCTTTAGACATTAAAAGTTTTCCAAGATTTAAAAATTTGAATATATCAATCCAGTGGGAATGAAGGACCCAGGGACTGAAAAGGGACTCCTCATCCTGGGAGAAACTGAGGAGATGAAAGAAATAGGTTTTTAAGGAGATTCGCCCTCCCCAACTCAGCTATCCACCAGGAAGGTAAACACATTCCTTAGTTCTGGCCATGATGGCTATGGAATTCTGGGAGTTGAAGTCCACACAGCTGGAGGATGCCCAGTTTCTCCCTACTGCCTGTTACTTCCTTACCATCTTCGCTCTTTAGTGGACCTACTGTTTCCTTGACTTTTTGCTTGTTATTCATATGTTGAAAGAAACTTTTTTTATCTTTGACATTTGTTGCAAGTCTTTGTTCATTCTGAGCCTTTGCTTTCCTGACTTCATCTTTGCATGCTCTGGCTGTCTGCTGATAATCAGCCTTAGTTATGTATCCCTTTTTCCATTTTTTTGTACTTGTCCTGTTTGTCTTTCAGTTTGTCAGAGAGATCTTTGGGCAGCCATGCTGGTTTCTTCTTGAATTTCTTGTTTTTCTTTTTCAGTGGTATTGTGCTGGACTGGGCTTTTAGGATCACATTTTTCAGAGTTTATCAAGTTGATAAAGACTTGTTAAGAAAACAAGGAGGATAAGTGATGGGGAATCAAGGTTACACTCCTAAAAGTGGGGCAAGGATTAAATTTCTTCAAATCCTCCTTTTTTAGGGTCTTGACACCTATGTCGCGGATGGAGGCCCAGATGGTTCAGCGCCAGGCTCCGCCATCTTACGGCCAGCTCATCGCTCGTGGCGTGATTCCTCCAGTAGAAGGGTTCCCGGTTGAGCATCCAAATCAGGTAAGTGAGCCCTACACTCTTCACGTATGTTCCTCAAGACCAGAGATCTCCAAACGTGGCCACTTAAAAGACTTGTGGACTTCAACTCCCAGAATTCTTAGCAAGTCAAGCTAGGAATTCTGGGAGTTGAAGTCCACAAGTCTTAAAGTGGCCAAGCTTGGAGACTCTGCTCAAGATCAATCTCAGAAGAGCATCGGTTCCCTCCTGATCCTCTTTCCTTAATTTCCTATCCTTATTTCCTGCGGTTGCTGAAAAACTCTCTAACGTCTTCCATGAAATTATGTCTGAGAAGCAAGATATACAGATAGTCCTCGCTTAACGACTGGTCACATTGTGGCCATAACCCTCCCCAAAAGTACTTAAGATGTTCCCACCCCCCGCCATCACCCTGTGGTCACACATTTTGGGTGCTTGGCTACTGGCTCATGATTACAATTGTTTGCAAGGTCTCTTGCAGTCACGTTATTTTTGATTTTTGACCTTTTTTTCCCCCTTGTTTTGCACATTTACTTCCAGTTTTTGGAAAACCACCCATTGGATCAAATGAATTTATTTAATGAGAGGGACCTCAGAGTCCTAGTGGACGATTGCTTAAACATGAGCCAGCTGTGTGCGGCAGCAGCCAAAAAAGCTAACACAATCCTCAGTTGTATAAACAGAGGCATAGAATCAAAATCACATGAGGTACTAGTACCGCTGTGTAAATCCTTAGTAAGGCCACACCTGGAATCCTGCATCCAGTTTTGGTCACCACATTACAAAAAAAAGATGTTGAGACTTTGGAAAAAAATGCAGACAATAACAACTAAGATTAGTAAAGGTCCAGAGATAAAAACATATGAAGAACGGTCGCAGGAATTGGGTATGTCTAGTCTAGAGCAGGGGTAGGCAACCTTGGCTCTTTTATGACTCGTGGACTTCAACTCCCAGAATTCCTGAGTCAGCCAGGAATTCTGGGAGTTGAAGTCCACGAATCATAAAAGAGCCAAGGTTGCCTACCCCTGGTCTAGAGAAAAAAAAGATTGGGGGGACACGATAGGAGTATTCCAGTATTTGAAAGGCTGCCACAAAGCAGACCCGTTTAAAAACCATCATAATTCTGGGCTGAATTACAGTCATAAGTCAAGGACTACTTGTATATATATTCTGGAAAAAAAGGATGACTGTAGAGATGCCAGAGCCATGGTCAGGAAGCCACTACTTGATTTGACCAATCAGGAAAGCACCTGTAAAGTGGTCCTTTAATTAAGAAAGATCAAAAGGTGAAGGTTGAAGAACAACATCTCAAGAGCTTTGTAGAGCAACAGAAGACAAGAATGCTTGCATGGTGGATGGCAAGAAGGGTGTATACTTTTTAAAAATATATATATATATTATTCATTTTTTAAACATAAACACCTTAATATTTGGTAAACAGCGTGTTGTCTGGGCTTATATTTGCAAAGTAATCACTAACAATCCGTTTCTATATTCCAAAGTCCACATTATAGCTTTGCTTCTTCTTCCAATAATATTCTCTTTGCCAACCTTGAATTGATACAATTCTTATTATTTTGATAGATAAAGATTTTTCTAAAATTTCTACAAATAATAACCAGATCAATATCATGCTTCTTTTCAATCCGGTCATCTTGGTTGCCTCGTCCTAAATCCTGTTTACTATTCTTATTTAAATTTGTTTCCCCTACAATGTTCAAAACATTCTTACTGGATTAAAGTTTTCTCAAGGTTAATTACATTTAAGTATTTAAATCTTATTTTCCTCGTACAGGCCATCCCAACACTTATACATTTCTCTTGTCTTAAAAAGTAAAAAAAAAAAAAAATACAAAAAAAGAGCGAAAAAGAAAGAAAAGAATAAGAAAAGAATATACTGTTTTTTTGTGATGTTCCTCATTTGTTGGTTTTCCCAAGAAATCATCAAACATTCTTGGTCTATCTCATGAGGACCCCAAAACTGTTAAGATCTACTACTTATTTTTATGCTGTTCTGTAGGCCCTTTCTAAAGACCTGTGACCCAACCACAGTAATCACTTTTTAAGTTTCTACCTAGGAGAAATAGGACTATAGGTAATCCTTGACTTAACGACCACCGTTGACACCAAAATTTCTGTTGCTAAGTGAGACAGTACAGACAGTTTTGCCTCATTTTGTGACCTTTCTTGCCACACTTGTGAAGCGAATCACAGCAGATGTTGTGACCCCGGGACGCTGCAACCGCCGTAACTATGAGTCAGTTGCCAAGGGTCTGAATTTTGAACACGTGATCATAGGGATAATGCAACGGTCGTAAGTGTGAAAAACAGCCCCTAAGTCCCTTTTCTCCAGGGGCGTTATAACTTCAAACGGTCACTAAACAAATGGTTGTAAGTCAAGGACTATCTCAAGTTCATCGGACAATTCCCAGCTTCAGCTTTCTTCAGCTGGTGGACTTGGAGTTTGTGAAGCTGAAGATCTAACTTTCTTCTGGGTTCTCGTTTCAGAATTCGGTGCTGGGGAATTTGCGGTCTCTCCTGCACCTTTTTCGACGGGACCCCGCTAGCCCTCCAGGCGCCAGGGGGGTGCGTCGTCCCCGTCAAAGCCGCTTCGTACGACGTGTGACGAGGCGCATGCGCCGATTGGGGCTACTTCCTCCCTCAGCCTCCCCTGCCTCGTCTTCTGCTACGGCCACCTCTTCCACTCCTGATGACTCGGGGGAGCCATCTTGTGGGGACGGAGATGCTTCTTCTCAACTTCCAGAAGACCAACCGTCGGCTCTTCCCGTTAAGATCCGGCCAACTCCTGCCGAATCCACGCCGGATCCTCATGTCCCACATCCTACTCCACGGTTCACGGGGGTTATGCATAGCCTCCGAGTCCGGCTTTTCTCCCCCGTGCCCACTTGCTCCGCGGAAGCTGGAGAACACCCCCTGAACCCATCTCCATTTCCTGATGAGGAAGATGAAGTCCTCCTGGTTCCTCTGACGGATCCACAACTCGAGGACCTTCACGCCACCGAGAACTGGGATGCCGACGACGAACCTCTCCTGACTTGAGAATTTTTTGCTGGATGTGGCCTTTCGGAAATTTGTCACCAGCGACCGACAACGGACAGTCAAGCTTACTTTTCTTTCCTGCGGATCCTTCCACAATTTTTCCCCCCCATCAAAAATGGCCGTTTAGATGGGGGAGAAAAATCAAATTGTTTTTCAAAAAAAAATATTTCTTCTTCTCGTTGGCGTTTTGACCCTAAGGACTGGTTTCTTTTGGCTTTTTTTGAAATCAGTGGCTTTTTATTGATCTCCAAAGGGTTGGAGAAATACCCTTTGCCTCGCCAGATCAGCAATTTTCTTGGCGTCTTTAAATCTTAAAATCTTTGTAGGAGGGATGATTGTCTTCTCCCATTGCCATTTTTCTTCTCAAGTAAAAACTTAGATCATTTTTTTTAGAGAGGTTTTTGATTCCTTCCGGCCCTGAAGTGGGAGCTTGTGCCGAAAGTTATCAAAGTTCGTGCGGGTGGCATTTTAAAGATTGTTCTTACAAAATGAGGAGGAGGAGGAGGAGGAGGAAGAAAGAATGAAATGTGTTCTTTGGAGAAACACTGAAGTTATTTGCTAGACTAAAAAAAACGAAGGAAGCAAAGATACAATCCAGAATAATCTTTAGCAACCTTAAGGCAGTTTCTTTAAGAGCAGTAATTTCATTTCCCCCCTTAGACCCTTCCAAATTGTCCATCGTGTATCGCAACTAAAGATTTATTTTTGTGAATTTATGGAAAGCTGAAAAAAAATATAATAATTTCACCGGAACTATTTTTTTTTTTTTTTTGCAAATCACGTTTTACGATGCAACCTTTTTTTTGCTAGCCAATCGTTCTGTTTGTGTTCCGTGGGAAGCAAATCCAAGATTTACAAAAACGAACAAAAAACAATACAAAAAAATCCAAAAAGTGTGGGAGAAAAAAGAAAGAAAGGTTAACACTTGGAATCTTTTGTTGATAAGTCTTTTGTAAGTAAATTATTTTTTAAAAGCACAGCCAATAGAAAAAAAAAGAAAAGAAATTTTGCACATGGAATGTCCAAATAGCTGTAAATAAGCAACGTTTTGTATGAAGGATAAAAGGAATATTTTTAAGAGCAGTGATCAGTTAAAAAATTTAGTGGTGTGAATTGCTGATTATTTCCTTTACGGCAGTGCTTCTCAATTTTATCAGCTTTTAAAATGTATGGACTTCAATTCCCAGAATCCCTCAGTCACCATGCTGGCTAGGGAATTCTGGGAGTTGAAATCTACATATCTTAAAAGTTCCTGAGGGGGAGAAACACTACTTAAATGGACAAATAGGAGGCAAATATACACCCAGATACACTGAAAAAAACATGATTTAGTCTGTCATGAAAAGGAAAGGCTTAAATCAAAAAATCAAGGTTATTTTTGCCTTNGGGGGGGGGGGGGAGAAGAAGAAGAAAAAACACCATAAAATCTGTGCTGAATCTCTGCCCAGTCAGTTTATTTACCTTTATTTTTACAAAGCCCACAGAATGCAAATAAAACTGAACATACGTCGCGAGACAAATTGGAAAAGGAAAATGGTAAATTGTACCGTAATTTCTCCCAAGTTGGGTAGAAATTTTTGAGAGAGGGAGACCTAGGATATTAACAACCACGTTCCTAACTTCACAACGGTGATGATTCACTTAAACAACTAGGGCAAGAAAAGTCGTAAAAGGAGACAAAACTCACTTAAAATTTTTCTCACTTAGCAACATAATTTTGGGCTCAATTTGGTCCTCGGCTTACGACCGCAATTGAGCCCAAAATTTATGTTGCTAAGTGAGAAATTTGTTAAGTGACTTCTGCCTCGTTTTACGACCTTCCTTGCCCCGGTTGTTAAGTGAATCACTGCCGTGGTGAAGTTAGGAACACGGCTGTTAAGTGAATCCGGCTTTCCCCCTTGATTTTGCTTGTCAGAAGGTCCAAAAGGGGATCATATCACCCCAGGGCACTACAACCGTCATAAATATGAATCGTCAATCACGTGACCCTGGGGATGCTGCCAACGGTCGTAAGTGTGAAAAACGGTCGTAAGTCGCTTTTTTCAGTGCTGTTGTAACTTTGAATGGTCACTAAACGAACTGTTGTAAGTCAGGGAGTACCTCTACTGAGGTAGGCAAAATAGCGATCAATAATCTATTTTGCTTCTAACAGGAATAGGCAAAATAGACCGCCGTCTGTTTCTGATGCATTTTGTCACTGAGAAATTAATATGTTTTTTTTTCTCTCTGCCTCCAACACCATTAACCTGAAGGGAAGGTTTAAATTCCCAAAATTAGCACCCCAAAATCAAATCCACTCCAAGCTGAAATGAACCCCGCTTTTTTTTTAATGGCAGAGTGAAGCACGCTCCTTCCACGAAGCGGAAAAATGGAGGCTTTTAGCACCTTTGGCTCTTTTATGACTCGTGGACTTCAACTCCCAGAATTCCTGAGCCAGCTTGGCTCAGCATGGAAACCTCTCCTTTTCCCCTCAGCATGGCTGGCTCAGGAATTCTGGGAGTTGAAGTCCACGAGTCATAAAAGAGCCAAGGTTGCCTACCCCTGCTCTAGGGAGCATCTCCCATAACTCAACCCGGGCTGAGGAATTCTGGGAGTTGAAGTCCACGAGTCATAAAAGAGCCAAGGTGGCCTACCCCTGAGCTAGTTCCTCGACTTACGACGAAAACTGAGCCCAAAATCTCTGTGGTTCAGTCAGACGTTGGTTGCAGTGAGTTTTGCCCCGTTTTGCGACCTTTCTCGCCACCGTGGTTAAGCGAATCGCTGAGGTTGTGAAGTCAGTGACACGGTTGTTAAGTGAGAACCTGGCTTCCCCATTGACTTTGCTGGTCAGAAGGGCGTGAAAAAAATCTTGCCTAAAATATGATGAAAATCAAGACGCCGCTTTATTAGTATTATTATTTTTTTTAAAAATCAGACCGTACAGATAGTCCTCGACGTACGACCACAATTGAGCCCAACGTTTACGTTGCAAAGCGAAAAATTCGTTTCGTGAGCTTTGCCCCACGTTACGATTTTTCTTGTCAGATGTATTAACCGAATCGCCACAGTTGATAAATTAGGAATGTGGTTGTTAAGTGAATCACTGCAACTGTTAAGTCAGTCACACGGTCGTTAAGTGAGAACCTGGCTTCCCCGTGGACTTTGCTCGGCCGAAGGCCGCCAAAGGGGATCACGTCTCACACACACACACACACACACACACCAGGATGCTGCGACCGTCATAAATAGGAACCAGACACTCAGCTTTTGAATTTTGATCCTGTAAAGGTTGTAAGTGTGGAAAAACAGTCATAAGTCACCTTGTAACTTTTGAACGGTCACTAAATGAACAGTTGTAAGTCGAGGACGGCATGTGCTGGTCCTCCGGGCAGCTTCTGAGATTCATGTCTTGTCAAACTCAACTCGGAAGAGGCGATTGAAGTTGATTGTCCTGAAAAATAGACTTTTGGGGACTGATCAATTAATTTATGATCGACCGGATGTCCCGATTTTGCTCGGGCCACTCGCCAAATCCTTCACGTGTCTCTGTGTTAACATGTATAAATTCATATATATATTGTCTATTATTTCTTTGGCTGGCAGAGGTAGTTAAGAAATCACTGAATCAGTGGCCATGTCGGTCGTCCTGCTGTTTTGTTCCTAAAAAACGAGTGCGGGTAACAATGTTAGAGTATTTGCACTATTGTCTTTTTTGTTCGTGAGCTGTCACCACTAACCGAGGGTTGTTCGGTGTGTAATTTCACCTTCTGTTGCCTTTACAATTTTGCTAAGAGCTTTTTTTCTTTTTCCTTCCAAAAAGGATGTTTTAAACTGTTAAGAGTAAAGCCAATTTTCCTGTCCTCCAGTGTGCTCAGTGTGATTTATTTACTTATTTTCTTTTAAATTTCTTTATTTAATCGTGGGTGCTCCATCCCTGGAGGTTTTTAAGAAGAGGCTAGACACTTGTCTGAGATGGTACTATAGATTCTCCGGATTGAGGGGGGGGGGCTGGACTAGAGGACCTCCAAGGTCCCTTCCAGTTCTATTCTATTCTATTCTATTAATTTTATTATTCTATTCTATTCTTATTTCTACTTCTATTCATTTTAATTCTATTATTTCTATTCTATTCTTATTTCTAATTCTATTCTATTATTAATTCTATTCTGTTCTATTCTATTCTGTATTATTCTATTCTATTATTTCTAATTCTATTATTTCTAATTCTATTCTTATTTCTATTCTATTTTATTCCATATTTTCTGTTCTATTTTATTCCATATTTGCTATCCTATTCTATTCTATTACTCTATTCTATTCTTATTTCTACTTCTATTATTTCTAATTCTATTCTATTCTTATTTTAATTCTATTATTTCTATTCTAATTTCTAATTCTATTCTATTATTAATTCTATTCTGTATTATTTTATTCTATTATTTCTAATTCTATTCTTATTTCTATTTTATTCTATTCTTATTTCTAATTCTATTCTATTCTATTCTATTCCATATTTTCTATTCTATTCTATATTTTATTACTCTATTATATTATATTATTTCTATTTCTATTATTTCTAATTCTATTCTGTTCTTATTTTAATTCCATTCTATTATTTCTATTCTATTCTTATTTCTAATTCTATTATTAATTCTATTCTGTTCTATTCTGTATTTTATTCTATTCTATTATTTCTAATACTATTCTTATTTCTAATTCTATTCTATTCTGTATTTTATTATTGTATATTCTATTCTATTCTATTCCTTATTTCTATTCTATTCTATTCTTTATTTTATTATTCTGTTCTATTCGTTAGTAACACCGTTGTTAAGTGAATCCAGCTTCCCCCCGCATTGACTTTGCTTGTCAGAAGTTCGCAAAAGGGGATCACGTGACTCCGGGACACTGCAACCGTCATAAGTACATGCCAGTTGCCAAGCCTCCAAATGTTGATCATGTGACCACAGGAGAG